GTAAATGAAATTTCGTCGTTTACACCAGTTTTCACAGTCGCCATAGAATTCCGTGTTGTACAGGAAATTAGTCCAATCTCATACTTTTTTTCAGCATCAAGTTGTATTGGCGAATTGTAATAAACAGAAAAGTTTGCGCTGCTCCTGCGTTGAATCAAGTAAATATGTTGTTCATGTTAGTGACATTATATTGATATTGTTAGATAAGATCGCTATGAAAATTTCATACTCGTCCGATGTCATTAATCCGCTCGATTTAAGATGATCTAGTATATCAATAATTTTGTTATCAATCTCTGCGCTTTTATTACTGGCTTCTGTGTATGATATCAACAACATAAGTCGGTCAAATATTTGTGCGTTTGATGTAAACCCTTTTGATGTAAACACTGATGTAAACCAGTGGTTTCTTCTGGTCATGTTTTTTCTCGTTCGCTTTCATACTTGTTAAAAAGCCTTTTAAAATTCCAGCCTTTAACATAATCTTCTGGTTTATTTCGGTATTGATTTGCTGTTTTATCTAAAACCCTAGCAATAATTCCGTCTTTCGTTCTGTGAAACGCATCACGTATTTCTTTGTTTACGTTAGCTTCTATAAGCCCGTCTTCAGCTATTGGAAAATCTCTAATTTTACTGATCAAAATTTTCTCCATTTCGCTGTAATCGTCACCTCTCCATTCTTGAAAATCGTTAAAATCATCAAACTAGTTATTCATTCAATAGTTTTAAGAAAATTATTTAATTCGTTTTCAATTATTTTTTTTCTTTAGCTTTGTTCTATAACGTGTTATCTGCTCTTTAATACGAATCATTTCTATGACAACTTCATTTATTCTTTTTTTTTTTTTGTCCCCTCAGCCAGTTCTTTAGTTTGCTTTGACACATTTTCTGTTAACCTCCTTAACCTGGCTGGATCAACCGTCAGTCTTGCTATCGCATGCTGAAGTGAACGAGGGTTGTTTATTAATCTATCAAATTTGACCTGTCGTGCAGCAAGATCAGCAATTGGTCTTACAAGTTCTTCTGCAATTTTTTTTTATTTTCTTCTTTCGATCTTTCTCTGTGTAAACCTAACAAAACTTTTTCTTGTAAATTTTTAAGCCCGTCTGCAAATAATGTTGATATTTTTGGTTGTATTTCCAAGTACTGCTTCAGTAATAGGTTTGAAATGTTTAGAAGTTTATTCCTCTGCTTGAACTTGTCAACGTCGAGCTTCTTCTACTTTTTTCTTAAAATCTGCTTGAGTTTTAATAACTTTTTAGTAACACAATTCTTTGTTGATGCTGGTCCATTTTTATTTTTTATACGCTTTATAAAATTTGCCTATAGAAACATGTCGATACAACAACGACATTTTTTAGCCGGATCAACCGCTAGTTTATCATATAAAAAAGAAATTGTATATATCTTTGGTTGCTTGATGATATAATTCAATAAATTTATCTTTCGTTACTTCACCGCATTGCTCGTTTGCAATATTTCTCACATCAATATTATCCAGTCCGGGAAATAATATAAAACGACCAGTATTTCGTCTGATAAATATATCGACGTTGTAGAAGCTTTTTGCAAAATTGATTGAATAACATTTTTTATACGCGATAATAAATTATTATATCTGCGCTTGTTCATCTCTTTGTTTAGCGGAATATCATCCAATAAAAATTTTTTATGCTCGGATGAATCAAGTTCGTTAACTGGAATAAGTTCTTCTGATTGTTTTAATAGAAAATATATCATCGCCTTCGTGAAGTTCATCATGAAGTTTATCGTTGTACTCGCTCAGTGATTCTTATTTATCCTGTTGCGGGTTAATTGTGTTAATATATACCTTATCATAGTTAAAGTTATTGTTGAGCAAAAGATTTAATAACAGATTTGTACGACCAATAATAAGACAATTGGCAATCTGGAAGTTCTTTATTATGTTTATGATTAATTGATCGTTCATGTATCAAAATTTAATATCTTCGTCATTGTTATTATATTATTTTATGTTATATAGAAATTGTATAACAATAACTAAATAATGAGCTTTTATACAAAATTTTGAACATTATTAATATATCCATCAGCCGAAGCTCAGCAAAGTGTCTTATCTAGATATGCAATTCTTGATCAGCTAAGAAATCAAATTAATAATGTATTAAATATCAAAAGTGTAGATCAAAACGAAGTTGTTGTTTTTCAGAATAAACAAGGACGAGTAAAGACAAGTAATATACAACTGTCAGATGTTCTTACGAGTTTCTGCGGTTGTTAATAAACTCGTTACTTTTAATGATCAATATAAGATACAAGATTCCGGTAAGTCAGTGATAATTTATATTTGTTTGGAGGTCTCTGGACTATTACCATCACTTATCCCTTACTACTGATATTTCTTAACAAAAAAGATTTTATCCCGCGTCCTGTTCAGAGTTTAAATTAAAAGAATTGCATATTTTTCCGCCTTACGATACCAAATTATCCATGACAACGAAAACATTTCTGCTTGAATCAAGACCTGTCTCTCCGATCACATATGCATCGTACAGAATTTACACAGCTAATAACTCAAGTCTATCACAGCTAGAAATGATGAATTACTTGGATTGAAAGATAAACAAAATCTATCCATTCCAGACCAACTGGAAAAGCTTATAGACGATCGTGTAAGCTTAGAAGCCATATAATTATCTGCTTGATTATTCAAAGAGATAGCTATGTCATGAAAAATACCTTCGTGAAAATGAAAACTAAAATACTATGGAAAATGTGCTGGGAGAAAATAATGTCGAACCGTCAGAACGAGTAATTAAATAGCGGTGTCTGATGTAATGTGATGTGATGTGATTTAGATTTTTAACGTAGCTTTAACAATTTTTCAGTCATATCGCTACGATGACTGAAATGTGGCAGTTTATAGTGATGTCTAGCACTGGGGCATCATGTAGCATGATGTTCCACCCAGTCACATTATCCTTACACTAATCTCTTAATGCTGAGCAATAAAAGCGAGGCAGCTGTTAATACCATTTTTGTAAGTCTTTAGTATGACTCGGCCGGGGATAGAGCCCACGATCTCCTGCATCCGAAGTGGACGCTCTATCAACTAAGCCACAGGAGCGATAAAAAATTAAATACTTAATCATGGTTTAATTACAAGATGGAAGAAGTAACCTCCCAGTGGTCGAGTGTAACCATAAGGCAAATTAGTTATCTTATCTATTAAAAATAATTTATCATAATTGTAATTTAGTGCAACCATAGTTAATAATATGGTATATCTCACGAAGGTTGGATCTAATTAAAGTCATCTTTTACTGATTTCTAGTTTGGTTAAATAGATAATGTTTCTACATTTCTAATTTAAATTTGTACTTGCTGATTAATTTTAAAATAGTTACGTACCGTATTTACATCTATGTTTTAAAAGTATACTGCTTATTTGTAAGGCTGCAAAATATTTATCGTAAAAAGAGTCATATAACCTTTTTTATCTGGCAAATTTTAATTTTATCACTATATTGATCTCTGAAACTGTTATAGCGGACGATGTAGCTTACTAAAATCTATCACTGTAAACAAGCATAAATGTGTGTTCCTTAAACAAAGCAACACCATATCAGTTTACGTGGTTGTTCTCCTTGCAAATTAAAAATATTCTCTTCAAGTATAAAACAATTATCTTCGTTCCAAAATGTTTACATTCGTCCTCATTTTCAAATTTTACGTTTGTTCTCTGAAGATATAATTATTAATCATTGTAAATAAGCAGTGTTTTCAGAATAATTTATTGTTATGTATGTCGTTTTTGTGTGTGTGTGTGTGTGTGCATGAAATATGTATTAAATTGCATTAAAGATGTATAAAATTACATGGAAGATGCATTCAATTATATAGTTATGACTTTAGTCTCGATCAAATAAATATAAACGATGATTGATTTAATCGCTAATTGAGCAGACAACTTAAAATTACGATAATGAATACATTTTTCTCTTCCATTTTCTTTTTGACATGCACAAAAATTAAGGTACTGAAGGTTTTATACAATTGTAATCTTTCTATCAATTGCTCATGCAAGGTAGGTAAATGAGACCCATTAGAAATTAGATATTCTGGTGACAAGTGATGGTATTTATATCGTAAATGTGTTGGCACATCAAAATCCACTTCTAAACATCCATCGGAACTTAGACCACCTTCCAAGATAAGAGCTCTTCAATTAGTTTGATTTGTTGTTTATTTGTCCAGTTAAAGTATTAGAAAGGCAAGCGTTGATACAATATTGCCTTGACAGTAATGGCCCTGGTGCTGACTTCTCATATTCAGTGAAAGAAAGCTAGTAATTTGGTTAGCATATATACTTGGTTTCATAACTAATCACTCCATTTAATTCATTAATATAATTACTGTTTCGATAATAACTATTAATGCATAGATTTCTAAATTTTTCAGAATGACAACTAACATTAAAATATATTTCTTTTAATATTTGTCATGTGAGCCGCTAATATCATTGACTTTCTAAAACTTAGTTTCACCAATTCCTGATCCAATGAGGTTTGACAAAGAAATTATGTTTGTGGTAACTTAGTTGTATTAACCCTTTAAAATGAATCTTGCAGATACGTGTCTTTTTTAAAATATCATGTTTCTTTATTTCATTTCTTGTCAGAAGCCGAATTAGAGAAGGATTTAACGCTTTTCTTTCAGATTTTAATGTTTTTCTATACAACTGTTTCATCGTTTAATATAGCACTAAGTTGTTTAAATAATTTATCTGTGTGAAATTACTTATCTTGTGATCAAATAATCATCATTTAACATGGTTGTACTTTATTATTTTACCATTACCTCCATTAACATCTCAGTTTGATATATAAATATTTTTGCACAACTTTTGCATTCTTTTTACTTTACATTTGATCGATTGTCTTGGACATACTTGCAATATGCAATATTTTCAACCATTTATATTACCTATTATTTTTTACCTAAAGTTACTGACCGCTACGGTGGCCTAGTGGTTAGAGAGTCCACCTCGCATGCGGGAGGTCGCGGATTTGAACCCCGACAGAAATATACGAAAGACATTGTTTATTTTAAAAATGATACTAACAGCTGCTTCGCTTGGTGCTCAGCATTAAGAGGTAAGTGTTAGGACTGATCGGCCTGTATCAAGATAATATGAGTGGGTGGGACATCAAGCTACATGTCTGCAGCAAGATACCTCAATGCTAGACAACACTATGAACTGCCACACTGCAGACATCGTACCTATATGACTAAAAAATTGTTAAAGCTACGTTAAAAACTAAATCACAGACTCACATCAACTTTTTTTAGATATGAATCTGTCATTGTTATTTTTCTCCCAAAATATTGTTATATTCACCTCTTTTAAACATTTTATATTACTGTTTAAATCTTTCTTATCTGTTCGGACTGAATAAAAATGTAAAACCTTTAAAATACTGGATTATTATCACCAAAAATATGTATGCTGCAGTTTCCCCAAGTTTACAGTGTACTTGCAAATGTCTGAGTAGAGACATCCAAGATTAGAAGTGGTGATAATGGATATTTTGTAATTATGACTTATTTTATTACAGTATGAGCAGACACCTCATGCTTAACGGATTAATTTCATCATACAGTATGTCACAATAAATGTTTTATAGAATAATATGTTTGATTTTATTATCACATTTCTTTTCTTTAATTTTGGAGCAACACATTTATTATGATGAGAAAACTCGTGTTGTTGTTTAGATGTTTTCCATCATAACCTTCTTCTCATTTCTGGCTATGAGAAGGAATTTATCGCTACTTTAAAAGAAGCCTTGACTCTTGATCAGAGAGGAATAGAGATATATATAACTAAATATACAACATGTAAATTTATTTATGTTGAAACTAAAAACAATACATATTACAATACTTATTAAATAGTTCTTTCTACAATCTACTATTTCATTTGTCCATTCATTTCTCTGCATTTTGAATACAAGTGATTTAAATATCCAAAGAGCCTAAAATTCAATAACTGTAATAAATGTATTTTATTCTATTTAATGTAAGGTAACCACCTGAAAAAGATCTGTGAGTGTTATACTTATTATTTAAAGAATATATATTTATTCTCAATTAAATTATACCATGAAGCTAGTAATTATTTCAAACAAATACTAATGAACATCGAAGCTGTAAAATATTTCATCACATTATGATTGTGGAAGAAGGAAACTCAATAATATTACATTATAGATACAATGAACATCAATTCAGTAAAATATCAAATCAGTAAAATATTTCATAGTAGAAAAAAGAACTCACTATTACATTATATTGATGAAATAAAAATAATTCAGAAGGATATTACAACTTACTATAAAATCTTTAAATTTTAAAAGCGAGTATAAAGCATAATGTTCTTACCTGTAAGAAATAGACACGACACTTCTCTGAGCCTGAAATCTCACTGAGACCAAGCAGCCAGAGCCTTTTTTTATATCTTGGAAGCTGCTGATCATCAGTATTTTCATTCAAGGTCAGAGAGGTCTGTCTAATGAAATATGCCTATGTTCTAAAAAAGTCACGCGTGTTCGTGCGTGATAGTCAAGGACAGCTTTAACCTTATATCAAGTTTTAGAGAGAAAGTGTGTGTGTGTGTGTGTGTGTGTGTGTGTGTGTGTGTGTGGTCAGTAGTTTTCCTAACTGAACGACCTTTCAGATCATACATTATCTATAACCTTCCTAATTGTAAGTGGTCATTCACATTCCGAACTTTTAAACTCAATTAATTTCCTAGACTGATTATCAATTACTTTGTTCCCAGCATCACAACGCAATTAATAAGGTTTTATTGATTGAATTGTGAGATAGTACATTATTCGTGGTTTCTATTCGTTACTGAACTATTGAACTCGGCTATTAATTAGACTTTTTCCATTACCAAGTGAAGCTGTGGAAACAAGGATAATATTTAATCTGAATTAATTTCAACGTTCCATTATATTCAGGATATGAATTATTGATTGGGCCATGCTTCTCTCACAATCCAAATCAATATCATAGCACTCTTTTTAAATTTGCAGGTTTTGCCTTTCAATAACTTATAAATTTCAATATATTCTACACAAGTTACTGTTATCGTTTCTTTCTTTTAAAATTGATATCTTGATAAATTTAACATCATCCGTTTAATTTGGTGAGATAAAAGTTTCATTGTCCTCCCAACCATTAAATGAATCATCATTTCTTTTCCAGTTTAATTTCACGTGTATTTTTTTTTTTATTTTACAGTTCGTTGTCTGGTCTTTGAATTTTCTCAGCCTGGAACAACTTGTCTGTTTGCCATATGGAGGTAACTCCTACTCAAATATTCCATCAATATTCCATCAGTTTGAGTCTTCGAATTTATATACATTAGGGGCACCAAAAGTTACCTTTCTGATTATAAATATTTCTATTATCAAAGTTAAGAAGACAGCTTTTTGAAAAAATAGATTTAATTTGTAGATCCTTTTTTTATTACCTCTTTTATAGTTGGGTTTTCCATATGTATCACTTGTCAGGTGCCCGAATAGATTAATTCATACTTCATAGCTATCTCAGAGTCATTTGCAATAACTGGTACCATGCGTATTACTGTATTCATCAGCAAGTTTAGGCAATATACACATTTTCTGGATTGGTTTAAATAAATATTTCCAATATTTATTTCAAAGTGTCCGCCAAATCTATTTGCAATAAACTCCTTTTTATCCGGGTATAATGAGAAAAGTATTATATTTATTTTTTTCTCCAATAATTCATTGACCTTTCAGATTGAATTTTTTTTTCTTTAACAAACTGTTATCGCTGAGTGTATATTTCCATGAAAGCGTCATGTATGTTTAAATGTCTTTTTGTTCTGACTTGGTAGGCCTAAATATCTTTTATTTATTATTGTCAACGCGTGTTTGTATCAATGGCTGTATTTTTCATACGTTTGTATATCGCTGTCGTTCCTCAGCCACTGGTCACCCTCCTGTATATGACTATTTTCTCACTTGCTAGTGTAATGTATGCGTGCATAGATTACTCAGTTACCAAGGTTTCGATTTCAAAACTTGATTTTCTTCTTATCACGTTAATTTGTTCACGCGATTGGTTGATATACATGCAAGAGTCAGTACTTTCAGGGTCGTAATAAGTTTTAAAAGCTGTTTTCGGTCGTTCAATATAAATTATTGTTGCATTTAAAATAAGGTCAGTAATAATCAGGCCTACGTTTTCTGAAGAACTGGTATTTGTATTTTCAAAGATTTACAGTAAAGAAATGATTAATAGATTTGAAAGAAATTTGTACTTATCTTCAGGTTTAGATGGTGCAACAATATGGTCTAATTTGTTATCCCAGAAACGACTATAAATGAGATAAAAACTGTTAATATCCATATTTCTTATATTAATAAAATAGTCTTATTTACAGAGCATGAGAACTTCCTTTAACGTTTAATGAGCACGACCCTATAATGAGCATGACCTTATTTTAGTTTGTAAGAGCCAAATGGTACTTTATATTGGATACAAGTTTACTTTAGACCCATTTGCAGCTCTCTTCACATTACAGCTATAAGACTTATGACGTTTCTATATCTATCGACAAAACATCAATCTAAGTTTCGAAAGGTTAATTAGAGTTTACAGTTGAAGTTCAACATTTGAAACTGTTTGACTAACATCGATAATAGCAAAAAGCAAACTTTTCGCACAGCATGAGGCATTTTATCTGCCGTTCTGTGTTGAAAAGGTGATGGAAAGTTGTATGTGTATCGGCAGGAATAATTTATATTTGTGGTTTGATTTTTTTATCACCTCAATTTAAATTGTCGAATATTGCATATATCCAGGTCTGATACTAGTTGAAAGAAACGTCCACATTGTTACAGAGTGGATTGCTGTATGGTACAAACACAGCCACACAATTTGTATTTAAGTTTTACGTTACGATCCACAGCTAGGTTTTGAAAAGACCGCCGTGTATGACACGTGTTGGCAATTGACTCTCGGGATGTTGGTCACACAAACTAATTCTCAGACGGACGTGTATCATTATCTCCGGATACTTACAGCCCTCCTGACAGAGTATATAAAAAATGTAATTTAAACTGAAGTCTAAATTTTACAAACAAAAATTGCGGAAATAAGATGGAAGAAGTAGATTGATGAGTGATGAGAGATTATAAATAAATTGAATTTATGTAGGATGAATAAATTACATAAATTGCAGGTTGATTTGGCTGTTAATATGTCAATACTGAGTTGAGTTTGGACGGCAATAGACGAATGCTTGCAGACTAGCTTTGAAATGTGTAAATTCAGAGGCTAACTGTTATAGATTCTCTCAGTTCTCGAAAAGAAAGAATATTTGTGAAAGTTTGTTTTTGAACTGGGCTTTTGATGATTCTGAGACAAACAATTCTGCAGTTAGCTGAGATTTAATGACAATCATTCTTACCCTCATTCCCATTCCGGGGGGGGGGGGGCAAGATACGAATTCCAAACGCGTTGGCACGATATACATGTATATCCATATTACAATAAAGAAACCGAGTTTAAGCTCTAGCGGCGTAGGAGAATTTAAAGAATATTACATATGTACATACGGATTGTATAAAAGCGTCCATAGTTTGCAAAAAAAAGTGCGGAACTAGTACAACCAATGCCATCTCATAGGTACTCGACGCGACCCGTTCTAACATTGGACCCTCTCTGTAATAGTCCAATGTCAGAACGGGTCGCGTCGAGTACCTGTGTGCCATCTAATATCCGAAGCATCCGTAATACGAACTGAATTTGCTTAGATGAAATTTTCATTGCTAGATGGTTAAGGGGAAATAACTCTTGAGCAGGTGCTCTTTAGATATGAAAAATTCAGCTTGGATCAATGGCGACCATCGTGTTTCAGATTGCCGGTTGGCAGTCTATTTTATTATGTCTCCTTTTCGCTGTAATTTATGTAGCAAGTCTTTATGTGTGGGCAGGAAGTCAAAGGGAAACTCGGTAAGAAAGCTCTGTCGAACTAATTCAGATTT